TAAAAAAAATTAAATCCTTATAATTATCCTTCTGTGCATTTTTCGTCCTGATTTTTTCATTGATCGACAGCTAATGAAATTTTAGGAAAAGTCAAGAAATTTCAAGTCGATAGGATTACTAGAAGTATTTTTTTTTTTCTAATTGAAGTCGAAAAAAGTCTGGCCAGACCACGCCGACCGACGGAGGGTTAACGATTATTAGTAGTAAATATTCATAGTTTTGTTTTTTTCTTTTTCTTACCGTCTTTTGCATGTGTTGAGCTTTGCTTATAATAAAAATATTACATATTATATTATATTAAAAAATCAAGAAATATAAAAAAAATCGTTGCTTTTTGTAAATTTTTCTGTTTCATATCAATGAAAACAATATTTATTCTTTTTATTGCTTATAATAAAAATATTACATATTACATTATATAAAAAATCAAGAAATATAAAAAAATCGTTGCTTTTTTGTAAATTTTTCTGTTTTATATCAATGAAAAACAATATTTATTCTTTTTCGGCGCCTTTGAAATGAATGTGAATTCAAATGAAAACGAAATGAGGTGCGTCGCCTTTGAAATGAGCTATAAAACTCAAGTGAAAATATAATTTCACTACAGGTTTGCTAAAAAAATTTCGAACGCAGTTTGATTAGAAAAATTGTTGATAATGTGTGCATTACTCATCCGATTTTCAGTGTTTGTGATTACCAATAAGTTTGGTAGGTTTTCAAGGAATTCACGTCGTGAAAATACTAACATGCATGTTACAACACATAGCAAAGAATATATACAACGCAGTTTGAATAGAAAATATCATGAAAAAAGACAAAATACTGGTTTACATATATCAAAAAGCGTATATTTCATACAAAATGTATTGGTGGTCTAGACAGACCATTCCGACCGTTCGAAGTATAAAAAATAATTATAATTATCCTTCTGTACATTTTTTCGTCTTAATTTTTTCATTGATCGACAGCTAGTGAAATTTTAGGAAAAGTCAAGAAATTTCAAGTCGGTAGGATTACTAGAAGTAATTTTTTTTAATTGAACTCGAAAAGTCTGGCCAGACCACGCCGACCGACGGAGGGTTAAAGTAGTATTTATAACAAAGCACGGATTCAAATGAGCGCAAGAGGTTTTTGTTTACCAATTCATGGATAAATCGAATGGAAGTTTAAAAATTTGTTTAAAAATAAATAATCTACACCTTAACTTAATTTAACTACATATAGATGAATAGATAGATTTAGATATCGCAATCTAAATCCTCGACTTCAGGAATATTTGCGACAGAGCACTTCGGATCTGTTTAATTATTCAGACAAATCTGCACTTCGACGCTTCGACACTTGACGGAGAAAATCAATTTCACAGACAGACATATATATATATATATATATATATATATTTACAGAAACGCCCTGCAGCAACTCCTTGTACTTTCCAAATTAAAAATAGAAATTTAATAGATGTAGTGTAATTTATACCGTAAATTGATTTGCAGCACACTTTTAAGCATTCCTTACATAACTTTAAATTAAGGAATCTCTATAATAGTTACTACAATTATTTATGTAATTATTTATTCAATGTTTTATAACTTTGAAATGTTATTTCTGATATAAATAAAATAGTCGATAAATTTCTGCTAAAATAATCATGCAACAGTATTTTATAATATAATATTATTATAGCAGTAGAAAATAAAAATTCTTTTCCGGAGTTAATAAGAGCAACCTCCCCGAAGGTGTAAAAGATACGATATCTACCTTTTCGTCCGGTTTCTGGTAATTATCCTCAAAGGACAACATTTTTGCATTTTCCCAATTTCCGGTTCCCCATTACAGGCTTAATTGCCCAAATTACATTGCGGGTTTAACCCTGTTAACGACAGACCAAAATTTTAATATTTGACATCGATTTTGAAAGACACCGAGTTGATCTTGACTTCAAATGCAATTTTCAAGTATATCGAGATGCTGTATAATTATATAATGTTAGACAATATTGCAGATTATTTAATTTTATATAAGTTTAGAATATTTTACTCATATTAGACAGAATGTTTAAATGTTATGAGACAAGTAATACAAAATGCACATTTTCAGTACCTACTATGGCTAATATGACGGTTCTCACATTTGAAAATGACAGTAATTATAATGAAAATGAGTTTGAATGACTTGAAAATTCATTTCCCTACAAACTACTGCTGGTCAAATTATTCGAAATCATGCATGCATATCAATTCTAACCTCTTGGCAAGTTTCCATCTATTTTTTCGAGTACATATATTTATTTTCGCATCAGAAACATATCATTTTCTCTCGTCTCCAGGGTAATTGATTTCCCATAAGGGTCTATGAGAAAAAATCAGTGAGCGAGGAATTTTCCTGCTGCAGGAAGATGGATGTACATTAGAGTGGAAGAGTCTGTTTTTTTATCATTATTAAAATACCATTTGTGAAACTATAGTAGTATTGTATATAATACAGTTGGTGTAGAATTAGTAATGGGATTTGTGGTTAGTCGGTAATTTATTTAATACAGTAATAACTAAGTGCTCAGATTAATTTTTCATTTCTAAGCGCACTTTAGAAGTATGCTGCCCTAGAGACTATTCTTGTTAGTAAAAATTATAGATTATTTCATTATTAACAAATTCAAATATTATTATATTGTTTAAGATCTGCGAACGATTAGAACACTAAATGTACTTTTAACACTATTAGGATAAATAAATGCAAAACGACACAATTGTACTTCATATACAGTATTACATCTAAAAACACTCAAATCAAATTTCTATTTTCATTTTACAGAATTTTGGATACTGAGTTTCTGTAGAACAAAATAATGTTAGACAATGTTGTAACTCATTACTATTACATATTTTTGTTAAATATGCTATTTATTTTGCACAAATCATTTGAAAGTCAAAAGATGTGGAATAAATAAGTGCACCAATCGATTACACTAACACTATATACAGTACTGTGGGCATATTGTACCGATCTTTATTATTTTATTTCGTTGGCTGAAAAATCTCGTGTCTGCATTTTCGTTCTGCATAAATTTTTCGCTTCGTAAGGAAATTCGCATCGCATTGTTCTCGTTTGTTTGACTTTTGCATCGAAATAGAAATGGAAATTCGCGAAAAGCTACTTCCACTTCCATTTCCAATTTCAAATCCACTTCTGAATGCACTTCCAGTTGCATATAATTTAAACTGAAAAATTAATATCGATTTATAATATGTAAAAGTATTTTTTTTTTCAAAATAAATTTATTATCAAAGTTTCATTAAAATATTTTTAAAGGCGCATTTATTTACTATATCGATTCTAATTTTTAAAACCCTTGCATAAATATAATATAATATTCTGCAATCTTACAATAAATTAAATTATCTATAATATTGTCTATTCGAGTCCCCACCCGAGTTCAATTTTCTCCAAGACTGGTGTCCTAGATCGCATCAGTCGACAGTCATATAAACTTCATCACAATCTTGTACCCGATCACCAACTTCCTTATTTTTACCCCTACGGTGAATACTTGGCAACAACTTGCCAAATTTATGGCACAGAACTATGAAGCCTAATGTCAAGACAAAGAAGAGCAGAATCGACGCTAAAGATACTCCAACCATCAAAGATGTTTTATAATGTGGATGGTCGTAAGTTGAAGATCTATTTCTGGTGCCGGTTCTAGGTTTCATGGTCGAGTCTTGGCATTGTGCAAGTAGAATGGTGGGAAAAGGAAGAAGTGTCACACCATTTTCAAAAGCGTAGCTGGTTAGATCTCTGGAGTCTGCACAAGAGTATTTGTTAAAACCTAAAGACAACTTTCTCAAACTCGGCATATGCTTCATAGTGTCAATAAATTCCAAATCTGATAGCTGATTGTGGTCAACGTGTAACTCTTCAATATTCCACCACGATCCTGTTGCATTGAACGTGTTCAAGGAATTATTGGACAAACTCAATATCCTCAAACCATAATTTAGTGAAATTCCGATAATAGTTAATTTGTTTCCACTGACATCGAGCTCCTGTAGGTTGTGTAAATTGGTGAAAACGTCTGGCAAGACTTCTAATTGATTGTGGCTCAAATCTAAGAATCTTAGTAATGTCAAACAATAAAATCCTGATCGATGCAAAGTGTTTAGATGATTCTGACTAAGGCGTAAGGTATGCAGATTGATCATACCACAAAAATAATATGACAAATCCTGTATAAAATTACAAGATAAGTCTAGAACTTCCAAAGAGTATAGACCTTCAAAACCACCCTCTATATTCACAATTTTATTTCCGCCCAAATACAGTTGCCTCAAATTGGACAAGCCTACAAAAACGAGAAACAAACTATTGACATCATTTTTCTCCAAGTTCAGTTCTTCCAAATTCTCCATTTCAGCAAATACATTCGGCTCCAAATTGTGCAACTTATTATTACGAATGTCCAACTTCGTCAGATTACCGAGTCCGCTAAAAGATTTCTGTTCAATTTGTGCCAAACCAACGTTGGCCATATTCAAAGTGTCCAAAGAGTACCAGTTCATGAAGGCATGCGATGGAATCGAATTTATTGTTCCATAATAGGTGATATTGCCTAAAATCAAAGCCGTATTTGGTTTGAAAAGTCATTGTTGTGACATCATGTGGCATATCAGTATAAAAGTCTCAAGATGTATAGTTGTTTTGATTTATTTTCCATTTTAGAATTGAGAATTGTGAAATATGCTCAATTATTGAAAAGAAACTGGCCAACAGGCAAGTGTCAAACACATTTTATCATGTGATATAAAATAATGGCATTTCAAAAGTTAATTACGAATTTAATATTGATTTCAAATATTACAACGTCATTAAATAAGCTAAAGATTTATTTTAATAACTTACCGATATTGTTATAAAACGGCATTTGACGATCCAAATGCAAAAAGTCGATAGACTTCACACCATTACACATTACATTAAATTTTATGCTATTGGAGTGCGTGTAAGATGTCTTTATACATTTATTTATATCGAAACTTAAACATTGTTGTATACAAAAAATGTATATAAAATGCAGATAATATATTATATACCTAAAATCGTGTAAAGTATTAAATTAAATTTGATATAGATCTTAATATAATTTAACTCACATTTTTGTGTGTTTTACTATTCACTTTCCGCGTGTAAATGCAAATGATTTATTTATTGAAATCCGAACTAATAAAAGATAAAAATAAGTTGCATCGAAGACAGCTTTGTTGTTATTTTATCATTGTTTGCAAATGTTTGCATTTTTTCATCACCGGCGCCATAATTTATCAGAATTTTTATGCAAGAATTAAATGAACTCAGTATAGTTCAGACACATCGATTTTAAAGAATGGATTACTGATAAGTATATTGAAATCCGAATTAAAAATGGAGCTAGGCAAAAATACTCTTTATGGATCACAGACATGAAAAAGTACTACTAAACAAAAACTGAAAGTACTAAATTTATTAATATACTTTAATAATTAATGTTTGTATCACTTTCAAGAAGACGAATTTAATATTAGTATAAAATTTTTATTTAAGATCCAACATTCTACAATTTACTACAATTCAATCTACCTAAATGATATTGGTGCACTACCATAAACACCCTCATGATTCTTTTGAACTCTTAAAAATTTTCCTGACTTAGAAAAATACATATAGACTCCAAATACTAATACCAAAAATAGAATTAGGAAAACTATCATTCCTGCTACCAATACGGAATTTTGATATTCTTGATTTGGATCTAATTTTAAATGCAACGAATTGGCCATAACTTGTCTTCTGAATCCACAACCAAATCCAAAGATATAAGTGTCATTCAGCAGAAAAAACTGTTTTGTCGATATGATTTGCGCGAATTCTATCAAAAATTTGCAAAGTAACCTGTTATAGTCGATTGATAAGACTTTGAGTTTTGTCAAATTTTGGAATAATTCGGAATAGTCAAATGGTTCAATATTGTTGTAATCTATATTCAATTCTTCCACATTGACAATATACCATTTCGTGTAGCTATTTTATATGAAGAATTATTTAAAATTTATTTAGCACATCACACGTATTAGATTAGTAATAAATTATTAACGTAAAATAATATTTCAATAATATAATTTCAATTTTCACACAAATGATAGTTTTAACCTTGACCCTAGACAGCCCGTACTAAATGTATTAGTTTTATATATTTAATAATATTTTATTTGATTTTAACAATTTAAATAGGTTATTTAAAGTCCTTGCAATATTTTACGCGTATTAAATTGTTATTAAATTATTTATTTAGTTCTTGTCATAATCATTTCAATTTTGACACAAGATATGTTTTTGTCCTTGACTTTACTCATGTAATGCAACTGTGTTAGTTCGATCAAAAACTATGAATAGTACAACGGGCTTCACTCCGTCAAAAAAATTCAAACTATATACAACAACTTTATTTACTACTACAACACAATTAAATTGTATTTTTACATATATAATAATTAATATAAATAATATTCCGGCCCAGACTTCAAATCAAATGAGATCGACTTTGTCCTCAACGTATCTGACATTGCTCGGATAATTATTATTTCTGGAATTGATGGAAAATTTGTAAAGTAAAACTCCTATACAGATTGCTAGAACGAGAGCTAGAAGAACCACCATCACAAGCAGTAAATTATGGTGCCTATCAGATAAGGAACAATTAGATTGCTCAACTTTCTGTATTTTCTCGGACTTGGATTCAGGAGCTGGTGGGGAAGAATTGGATACAACACTAAGCGGTGTTGTTGAATTATCTATTGGGTTTAACGTTGTCGGTAAAGTTGTAGTTGAGGTTGTACTTGGTGTTGTTCTAAGAGTTGTTGGCGAAGTGGTACTTGGTTTGGTGGTCGTTGGTGGTTTCATGCTGGTCGTGAAATGGCAACTGATTCCGTGTATATTCGTATCATATTTAACGAGTTGCAATGAATCCAATTTTAAGCTTAAGCCTTTTGTTGATATGAATTTTGATAGTTGCAGCAAAAAATCACAGGAGAAATTGTTCGAGCCCAAAGTCAATGTTTTGAGTTTGACAGTATGTTGCAACATGTCTTCAAAGTCAAAATACTCGATCTCGTTATGATCAATATTAAATTCTTCCAGTCTTGACAGAGCATAGTAGGTGAGCCGCTCTATTTTCTTCAAAGAGTTGTAAGATATGTTCAACTTCTGCAAATTTGTAAAAGACGAGAAATAACTTAAACTGTTATCCCCGATTTTGTTCTCGCTCAAATCCAATTGAACGAGGCTCTTCAAATCGTGAAAAACGCCAACGGGAAGCACTTTTAATTCATTATTCTTTAAATTTAAAAACTTCAAAGTTGAAACATGCTCAAACGCGGTCTTGTCAATTGTCTGAATGGAATTATACTCCAGTTGCAGCCTGTCCAGGTGCGCCAAATCACTGAAAACATTTGGAGGCAAATCCTTGATCTGGTTATGAGATAGGTATAAAGATTTAATTTCCTTTAAACCTTGAAATGCTCCTTGGATATCAGTAATGTTGTTGTATTGCAAAAATAAGAACTCGAGTTTAGACAAGCCTTTAAAAACACCATCCAAGAACTGTTAATATTGTTACGCCTCAGATCCAAGTTTAACAAACTGGGTAAATCTGAGAACGTGTTTTTTTCCAAAGTAGACAACTTGTTGCTGTCCAGATCTAAAATTTCTAAAGAATTCAATCCAGAAAATGCATTGCTTTCAATGGAATTTACACCGACGTTGAGCAAGTACAGGCGTGTCAGAAAATTGGTGCGATTGAAGGAGTATGATGGTATTTTACTTATTTTACCGTGATACTTTAATGTTCCTGGAAAAAAACTTTAATTAAAACCAATTCTAGAACTTTTCAATTATAGACTAATTCATTTACCGATATAGTAGTTGCTCAACTGAGACTCCAAATGGAAAAAATCTAAGGCATCAGCGTTCTGACACTCCAAGTTGTATCTTGTTGCTCTAGATGTTGTCATGTACGTGGACTTAGTACATTTGTTTATGTCAAATCCGGATACACTCAGGGTTGTTAATATACATAAAACAATCACAATTTGTGCAGACGTCCTAAAAATAAAATAAATTGATAAAGGTTTCATCTACGAGTGTAGTGGTTCGTATGCAAATGACGTTTGACCGCAAACTTCCTTCTGCAGAAGTGATAATTGCTGATAAATTGGAAATGCTGATATTTTCAATATTATAAATAAATGCAGCAATTGAATAATTATAAATGCCGAATGCAAAAAAAATAAACTTCATGAAATAACTCTATAAAATATGTAAGATAATAATTTAGATGTGAAACAAAATGACAGTAATTGAATTTAAAATAATAATATGAAACATTTATTAACGTAAAATATTGAAGTATAAAATATAATATTAAAAACCAAATGTTTTGGGACAAATAAATCCTTTAATTAAATTATAGTAATGTATGCAATTTAATTTGAACTTCTTGCAAAATATGTTTGGAATTTAAGCAAATAGTGAGAAATACTAAAAATTAAATATAATAATTTAATATATTTAATTATAAATTGAATGTGTTTTTAAATAAATAAATATCAATTACTAAAGGAGTACTAAGAAAAATGTTTTTAGATAAACACATAACATATTAAACAATTTAATTTAATTTTTTGAAAACTTTTTATATGTATTAAAAATCGTAGCAAAAAAATTACTTATTAAAATGTTATAAATAACAAGGTAGAATAATAAATTATGTATTATTTATAAAAACAAAAAATATTATGGCAAACACTAAACAGCTATGAATAAACGATTGAAGTATGAAAAATTAAAATATTATATAATATTTTATCTATTAAAATGAATATTACACCAAAAATTATAAGAAATGTTTTACTGAGTTTTAACTAAGTTTGAAGTAAATGAATAAAAGTATAAAGATGTATTTTTATTTTAAACTTTTGCAAATTATTTTTGAAAAATATGAAATGATGTTTTAAACAAATAATTAAATTAAATAACATATTCAAAATTATAAATAACGCTATTGAATGAAGTATTATGCACTGAATCAAAAAAAATAAAAATAAATAATTATTTATTATTAAACAATCAAAAGCATACGAACCACTATTAAAAACATATAAAATATTATAAAATACTTACATTTTATTATTTTCACTAAAATTTGCACACAAAATCACATAATTTACACAATAACCAAAATCACATCTACAAAAACTATTGTTGATTAAATCAACAAAAATTAATAACTATTTATTTATTCAGTAATTTTTGTTTATACTAATTTTGCAATTGCAAAAAAATAATTATAATGATTATTTTAATTGTGTATATAAATAATTATTATAATTTTAAACAAATTGCCGTCTGCCTTTTAAAATGGAATCGCATTTATATCTCTCGAATAAAATGTGAAATAAAACAACTATGCCTTATCTGTCGACAGCTTCCTTTTTCGAAA